TTTAGTGATGTTTATGTTAACATGTTAGGGGTGAAGTATACTGATATCTACAACATCTTTTGAAATTTCTCCAAAAAGTAAGATAGTTTGATGGATTAATAGAGTGGTGAATAGGGAGAATGATATGTGATGAAGTAAAAATAACCACTAGTCTGTGGTTAATGGGCATTCACTAAATACTTCCCCTCTTTCCCCTCCCCCTCTTCCTTTGATTTTTGTTTGTTTCTTTGTTTTTTTTTTTTCTTGACAGGGTCTCACTCTTTAGCCCTGTCTGGCCTGGAACTCACTATGTACCCCTGTGGGAGACAGGCTTGAGCCTAGAGTGAAAGTCTTATTGACAGCCATACAGCAGGCCTGAGGCAACGGCCTGACTGCTGGAGCCACAAGGAATGCCTTGTGACATTTTGCTCCCATTGGCAGATCATGAGACTGATGCCTAGAGCTGGCCACTCCTGAATCACCACCCTTGGAATCAAGGTATCCTACTTGCTGTACTATGATAGGATGCTAAACCTGTTATGCTAATAAGGTATCCTACTTGCTGTGCTGTGATTGGACCACTATCCCTATATAAGCTTGTGCCTTCCTGCAATAAAGCAGACCTGTGTCACTGAACCTGGTCTCCTGTGTCTGAATGCGGCTCTGCTGACACAGTCTCCTCACCAGCCCTGGGGTCTGGACCGGACGACTGATCGGAGGAACTTAGCAGGAGAGTGGCCATAGCCGGAGGAGAGCAGCCACAGCTGGCGACCACATACCCCAAGCTGTCCTCCAATTTAGCAATCCACCTGCACCAGCCTCCTAATTGCTGGGATTACAGCTGTGCACCGCCATGCCCTGCTTCCTTTTCTGTGTTTGAAAATGTTCTAGGAGGAGGCTGGGCATGATAGCATATGCCTGCAATCCCAGCTTGTTAGGGTTCTGAGACAAGAGGATAATGAGTTCAAGGTCAGCCTGGACCACATAGCAAGGGCATGTCTCTGTCCCTCTCTCTACCTTCTTCCTTCTCTTCCTCTTTCCTTCTCTCCCTCCCATCTCTCTCAAAGAGAGCCTATAGAGCACATAAACTCTAATGGTGATCATTGAGGTTTTGTTTGATTTTTTTAACTGATTGGTTTTGATAAAGACAAATGCTGAACAATATAGCTTGGGTTTGAATAACTTGTACTTCATTCTACAGCACTGGTCAGCAGAATTTTATACACACACACACACACACACACACACACACACATACATATGTGTGTGTATATATATGGAAAAGAGTAAAGGCCATCTGACATTCTTCATATGGTAACTCACTTCTTCCTCATTGTTCCTTATATAAGTAGATCTCTGGCAGAAAGTTCTAAGAGTAACAGTGCTGCATGGATGATCCCAATTCCTTTCCTTCTCCTTAAGCACCTAGATTTTGCAGCTAGATTTTGCAAAGTGATATCCTCATTAAGTTTGGGGTGCTCAGATCTATAGAAATGTGACCCATGTAGCTAATACTTTTAACTGCCTTTTTTTCAGACATACAATCAAATGTGGAACTGAAAAGCCCTCAGGAGCAGCCTCTGCCCACAGGTAACATTGGGTCTTTCCTCTCCACAAACATGCCTTTACTGACAGTACTAAAGAAAGAGGAGTGCCGTACTCTGGATTCAGTAAAAATGCTACGGAAACATTTTAACATGGCTCCTCTTGCTGATAACACAACTCATTCATTTACATCATAAAAATGCTTTAGTGGGGGCTGGGGAGATGGCTCAGTGCTTGCACACAAGGACCTGAATTTGGATCTCCAGCATTTGCATAATAGCCAAGTGTGGCAGCACCCACCTGTAACCTCAGCACTGAGAGACAGAGGCAGGTGGATCCCTGGGGCTCACTGGTTGGTGAACTCAAGGTTCAGTGGGAGACCCTGTCTCAAAAATTAAAGTGAAGAGCAATGGAGGAAGCCACCTAGAGCTGCTCTCTGACCTCTGCACAATATGCAGCCACGATGAGTGCACATGCTACACCAGATGCACACACACACACACACACACACACACACCACACCTGCACAGATCACACATGCATATACCACGCACACCCAACTCACACACATACACACACACCACACACATACTGAACACACACATAAATGCATACACACCACACACATGTACCATACATACATACCCCCCAAACACACTCCACATATACATACCCCACTCACACACACACATACACACACAAACAAACACACAAATGCTTTAGCATCATAGGGCTAAACTACATTCCAGCTGATATTGATCATTGGATTTTTGTTTGTTTGATTTTTCCAAGTAATTAGTTTTCTTTTTTTCTTTTCTTTTTGTTTTTTGTTTGTTTGTTTGTTTGTTTGTTTGAAGCAGGGTCTCCCTGTAGCCCCAGCTGGCCTGGAACTACACTATGTACACTATGTAGACCAGGCTGGCCTTGAACTCACAGAGATCTGCCTGCCTCTACCTCCCAAGTGCTGGGACTACAGGCGTGCGCCACCACACCCGGCTTCATTTTTTTTTTTAATTTGGGTTTTTTTGTTTTGTTTTTGTTTTTGTTTTTTAAGATAGGGTCTCCCTGTAGCCCCAGCTGACCTGAAACTCAATATGTAGACCAGGCTGGCCTCAATCTCACAGAGAGTGGCCTGCCTCTGCCTCGGAGTTCTGGGATTAAAGGTGTGCACCCAGCAACCATAGAATTGGTTTTGATAAAGACAGGTTGTTCATTGATACAGTAGCTTGAATTTGAATGATTTAAGCTTCACTTTAGATCAGTGTCAGGAAACTTTTTTTGGTAAAGGGCCAGAAAGTAAATTCCTTTGATTTTTCGGTCCTCATATAGTCTTTTTCTATATCCTTTGTTGTTTTTACTAACCTTTGAAAGTATAGAAACCATTCTTGCCTCCTGGACCTCTATAAGGCAGGTGTGGTCAAACTTGGCCCTTTGGCCATAGTTCACTGACCCCTGCCGTTAGGCTTAGGCAGGAGGATTTTCACTAAGTTCAAGGCCAGCATGGGCTATATAGTGAGTCTAGACTGGGCTACATAGGGAGACCCTGGTGGGTTTTTTGTTTTGTTTTTTTTTTGGTCTTTCTCAGACAGGGTCTCCCTGTAGCCTTAGCTGTCCTGGAACTCCCTATGTAGACCAGGCTGGCCTTGAACTCACAGAGATCTGCCTGCCTCTACCTCCTAAGTTCTGGGACTACAGGCATGCGCCATCCTGTTTTAAAACACCAAAAATGAGTAAATAAATAAATAAATAAATAAATAAATAAATAAGTGAACTTGGGGCCTATTATTTTTGCACAGAATCACACCTATGATGTCAACAGAAGAAGCTAGGTTTAACATAGGTTTTGTTGGGTAATACAAATGTTTTCAGGCTCAGTATTTCTTAAACTACATAAAAAGAAGGTGTCAGATCCCCTGGAACTGGAGTTGCAGGTGGTTGTTAGTTGCCATGTGAGTGCTGGACACACCAAGAGTATTCAAACTAGTCTGTCCTAAGTATTAATACTTATTTGGGCATAAATAGCAATAGTGCCCTACTGGATATTGTGAAATGTATCAATGAAGAAAGAATTTGTGTCTATATAGAGCATGAATTTATTATAACTCAGATGAAAGAAAAATTGAAGAAAGGTGTATATAGTGCAAGGATGTGTGAATCTTATACAGCTTCTAAACTTCAAGCGCCTTCACGGTTGCCCCTGCTGGGCAGATGTGAAGAGGATGCTGCTTGTCTGTAATTGTGAAGCATCAAATATGCAATACTGATTTTCACTACAGGTGACCGAAGCTGAACTCAGCTCATAGTTAGAAAAACCTCTTAACGTTGACAGCATGCTTTAAATTTTTTGTCTTTTAGAAAGTTCAGAAGTTTTAGGTGATTACAGTTTAACCAAACCTCATGAAACAGAAAATGTAGAAAATGCAGAAGCCCCTGCCAATGAAGATGAAGATGTAGGAGGTAAGCATACTACACAGACTAAAACCCAATGGTTACAGATATGGTTAAAGTTTAGTATAAAGAAAAAATGAGTTTACCAGGAAAAACTTGTATTTGGGGGTTTGGTGAGAAGCTTCTCAGATGTTTTTGTTTCACATACATTGTATTTGTTTGTTACAAGATAACACCAATATTGAGGTGGCCTGAGAGATGGCTCCACAGATAAGGGTACTTACTGCTCTCCCAGAGGGCCTGAGTTTGGTTCCTAGTACCTGTGTTGAGCAGTTTATAACCACCTGTGACTCCAGCTCCAGGGGATCTGATGCCCTCTCTGGCCTCTGTAGGCACCCTCACAGATGTGACATACATACACAGACATACACGCATACACATTAAATAAAATGATTATACCAATTTTTATTTTTGAGACAGGATCTAGCTATGTAGTCTCGACTGGCCTAGAACTACTGTGTAGATCAGGCTATCCTCAGATTCACAGAGATCTGCCTGCTTCTGCCTCCTGAGTGCTGGGATTAACAGCGTGTGCCACCAGGCCCAGATAGCACCAATATTTTGAGAATTTAAGATGCTTATTCAAGTGTTTGAGTTATATTAACTTCACTTTAAAAATATTTATTCACAGGACTCAAGAGGTAGTTCAGCAGTTAAGAACACTAGCTGCTCTTGCAGAGGTCCTGGGTTCGGTTCCCATCACCCACATGGTGACTAACAACCATCCATAACTCCAGTTCTAGGTGATTTGATGCCCTCTTCTGACCTCCTCAGGCACTGCATGGCATGGATGTACTTACATATATGCAGGCGAAACATTCATACACATGAAGTAAAAAATAAATAAATAGAAAAGTTTAGAAAAAAAGGAAAAAATGTTTGCTAGGTGTGGTGGTACATGCCTGTGATCACAGCTCTTGTGAGGCTGAGGCAGGAGGATCGTGAATTTGAGGCCATTCTGAGTTTCTTAGCAAGTTTAAGGCCAGCATAAGAAACATCTGAGGCCCTATCTCAAACAAAGCTAAGCGAAACAAGTTCATTTTACCTTTTTCCATTGTAGAAATAATACATGTTCACAATTTGGGGCATTTTCCAACCATGATAGCCAGTTCTCCAGTTCTTCAGGCTATACCTGGGTGCCCAACAACTCAATTCTCTTTTTAAAATTTTATTTCTTCTTAATAAGGGTGGGTGCATGTCACAGGACAACCTATGTAGTGGGTTCTCTCCTTGCACCATGTGGGTCTAGGGATCAAACTCAGGTCAGGCTTGGCGACAGGCACCTTTATTTTTTGAACCATCTCATCACCTTCCTATTTCATTTTGCTTTGACTTCTTTTTGAGACAGGGTCTCACTGTGTATCACAAGGTGACCTCAAACTTGTGATCCTTTTGCCTCAGCTTCCCAAGCATTGGCATTGTACATATGCACCATTATAACTGGTAAATATCCCCCCGCCTTTTTTTTTTTTTTTTTTTGATACCTGTCATCCTACTGGGAATGAGTCCCTTGAGTCTCTGCCTTTTTTCCTCTCTTTATTAAGGTTTCCTTTAATTCAGTTTCTTTTCTTTTTAAAAGGTTTTCAAAACTCTGTGTGTGTGTGTGTGTGTGTGTGTGTGTGTGTGTGTGTGTAGGTGCCTATGGAAGCTAGAAGAGGGTGTCGGATCCCCTGAAACTGGAGTTGCAGGTGTTTGTTAGCTGCCATGTGAGTGCTGGGAACTGAACCCAGGTCCTCTACAAGGGCAGCCAGTGCTTTTAACTGCTGAGCCATCTCTCCAGATCCATTTTCTGCATTTTTGATGCTCCAGCATTTGGGGGTCTTGCAGACCCAGGGAGAGATTGCTCCTCTCAGGGCTAGGCAAGTCTTAAGATAGCAGCAGTCTTGACTGGGAGCCTGCTTTTCATATGCAAGCCAACCAATCCTAAATTTATACCCACAATTACCTACCTATCTTCATCCCATATTCCAAGCCCTAAATCCTAGTACTAGACAACCAGAGACCAGTCCTATGCCCCCCAAGCCAACAAGACTATTCAAACTAGTCTACCCTAAACGTCTTACCCTGTCCTGCCTTGCCTTTCCCACAGAAACCCCAATAAAGGTCTAGCCGAAGCCCTTCCCTCACTCCTCTCCTCTGCCTCCTGCCTTGGCCTTCCTGCTATACCTTTCATGACAATATAATGCAGGTAAATAATTTCTTTCTTACAATCCACATTCTCATTTTCTCTGTGGCTGCACTGACTTTACCATACCATAGTCAACATGTATGTTCTTAATGTTGACAATTACTAGGAACTGGTAATGGATATATTCTGCAGGTGAATATCCTGATCATCGTAAAGCCAGTTCTGCATGGCTTGAGTGTGAAGTACATCAGCTGCTTTGCCTGGAGGGCTCCGTTTGGCATTTGTGGGGAGGTGGATAGCCCACTTCTCAAGTTAAACAGACTTTATGGTGGTTTTTATCCAATCTTCCAGGCTGGCAGTACCCTCAAGAATGACCTGTTACATGTCTGGATCATGTATACCCATTTATGATTGTTTCATAGAGAGCACTCTGCAGCATTTGAAAACTAAGATTCAAGGTGGAGATTTTCTTAAGTGGTAGAGTGTGTGCGAGGTCCTAGGTTTGATCCCCAGCACCAGAAAGAAAAAGAAAAAAGAAGAGTCAAAATACTTCCCCTAGCTGGGCGTGGTGATGTACACCTTTAATCCCAGCACTCGGGAGGCAGAGGCAGGTGGATCTCTGTGAGTTCAAGGCCAGCCAGGTCTACATAGTGACTCCAGGACAGCTGGGGCTACAGAAAGACCCTGTCCCACCCCCCCCAAAATACTGCCCCTAAATAATTATCATAATTCACTT